TGATGGTTTGAATGAAAATATAAAATAAGGTTATAATTTGGACGGCTTTTTACTATAAAAATGCTTACCAAAAGTCAGCACATTACTTTAATATTGCTTCTAGTTAAACATGTATTGATATATATTAGAAAGATAATAATAATAAATGATAAAAATATTTGACAAAGAATATATATCTTTTAATTGAAAAAAATTCTACATTAGTTGTTCTGTAATTGCTGGTTATTAATAGCTATTATTGATATAAATGTTGACAAGTTAATTGCTTATTCAAGCAAAAACCCATGTAATTCCAAGATAAGTTAAATGTTTCTTTTCTACTTGAGGCATATAATTTAATTTGATTAATGTCTTGTTATAGAGAGCCAATTTTTTCTTACAAGATTCTTATCATGTTTTGTCTTGTATTCTTATAACCATTAATACTAGAAAATAAATAAAAAAAATTATTGAATTTGAATAATTAATTACACTTTCAAATTAAAAAATTACAATTATAAAGCAATGTTTTTTTAAATATTACAATACAATATAAATTCTTTATATTTTTTACACATTATAAAATAAATTAATAAATTCTAAAAACATAATTAATCAGCATTAGCTTTTCAAATAAATATAATAATTATCTTTTGATTCAATACACATTAATAAATATATATATAATTCTTTATATCAGTAACTAAATCAGATAAATAAATAAAAATTTTATATATAAAAGAAATAATATACTTAGAATATGTAAAAATAACATTAAAGTTTCACTTATTATAACTTTTATATGCTTTTATATTTCTCAAATATATATACAGTATATATATTTTAATTATATATTATTAATCTATACTTTATAACTTTATTTTAAAATTTTTTCAAATATATTATTAATAAATTATATCTTAACATTATACTATATCTCATATTTATATTAAAAATTTTTGTTTATATACAGTTTTTTTTTAAAACAATACACAATGCAATTGTGGGGGTTTTGGGACGAAATTCTGCACATGAATTCCCAGCTCTAACAACTCTAGAGTCTTAAATCCGTAGTCGATTGGGGGCTATACTTATAAGTCTAACCTCTGACAAGCATTTATGTTTTACGCCTCACTCGAGTGAGGTGTGTTTTATGTTTTACGCCACATTTTTGACATATTTTGGTTAGAATTATTTTATGCTATTCTACTTGCTATTGAAATCTAATGAAATTAAGTTAAATCATATATTTGTTTTACGCTTTTTTATTTCCTTTGCAAGCTAAAATGCATATTATTTTATTAAATCTAACCTAAGTCTAACCGAAGGACAAAACCTACGCCATATTTTTGGCATAATCTGGTTAGATTTATTTTATGCTACTCTGTTTGCTGTTAAAAAACAAAGAGAAGCGGTGAAGGGATATGAATGTAATGAATATCTCTGATCCCTTCTCTGCTGTGTAGCAAACTAAATCTAACCTAAGTCTAACCGAAGAATTTTGTATATTAAAAATTTTATATCGAGAACCTCTTCAAAAATCATTTTAACGTTAGAAATCCTTTTTATCTAGAACTTCTAGAACTATAAAAACCAATGCGTTATCCCTGTTTTATATACAATATAAATCCAGTTCTTGATATACAAAATTTTACTAAAATGCAAAATATTTAAGCTTTAATTTTTCTTAGAAAACCTTTTAGAATAGCAAAAAAATAAATCTAATCTCTTGATATCGAAAATTGTCTTTGGTATTTATCACTTTAGATCAAGTTCCTGATATACTATTTTCATGAGCTTTTTCACGTAATCTATTAACATACTGAATCTGATAAAAACCTCTCTTATGCAATTTACATCGTCCGCAAACTGATCCAGTAGGTTTACCACAATCAGTACAAGGATACCGCTTTTTAGCTCGATAATGAAGTCGACAACCTTCAGGACGAGTACTAGCCCCACCACAAACTTCTCCAGTGTTATGTAAATAGTCACAGGTATATATTGCTAGCATTTTTATATAACGGATAATATTTTTAAATTGAAAAGAAGTTTACATAACATATATACAACGAATAAAAATTTTAAATTGATCTAAAGTTTACGCAATATATAAAAACTATACGCGCATACCACAAGATGTCTGATGTATACCCAGAACATATCGAAAGAATTTAGTATAGAGATAGTAGATTACTGTCCAATTGGACCAACGGCTCATATACCTTTACCTGAAACTTTACCAAAACGTAATAATGGTATTATAAATATTCAAAATGATGATGATTAGTGTTTTGGATGGTGTGTTTTGGGAGTATTACATCCAGTTAAAGTTCATCCAGAAAGAAATCCAAATTGATTATATGGAGATTTTATAGAGGAACTTAATATGGATAACATCCCAATTCCAGTACCGGTTTCTACATCAGTTTATCAAAAATTCGAAGAAAATAATCCAGAAATCAGTTTATGTGTCTATGAATGGAACAACCAAAATAAATGTTTAGAATTTCGTTATATGACAGAAAGAAGGGGTGATGAATATAAACAAGTAAATCTTTTGGTAATAACAGAGGAAAATAGAAGCCATTACTGCATAATCAAAGATTTACACAAGGTAGTGTATAATCATAGTAAACATAAAGGAAAAAAATACCTTTGCCGATATTGTCTTCAGGTATATTCTGAAGAAAAAATATATAAAGAACATTTACCAAAATGCAAGAGACTAAATAATACTCCTCAAATACCAAAAGTTTCTACATTGGAAAAAAGTATAAAAGCTTTTAGTAATCATAAATGCATGCAACCAAATCCATATCGAATAATTTGGGATCTTGAATGTTTAACTACAAAACTAACTCCAGAAGAAGATGCTCAATTAACTTGAACTGAAAAAATTCAAAGGCATAAATCTTGTAGTTATAGTTATGTAGTAATACGTATGGATAATTTTGGTAATTATGAAATTACAAGCTATGATTTATATAGAGGACAAATGCGTTAGAAAAGTTTGTAGATAAACTTGAAGAGGAGCTAGCAGAAATTCAAGCAGATTTATTATCACCTGCAAAAATAATTATGGAACCAGGAGACCATATAACATTTAATGAGGCAACAGAATGCTATATTTGTAAGAAGCCCTTTATTGAGCCAGCACCAGAAATTTACAACAATTCGAAGAAGCAAAACAACAATTGTTAGAATGTAAAGAATAGGAGGCACATATAAAAAAAGATCATTTCAAAATGAAAGACGTACAAAAGAAATATCAACAAGCGTTAAGTAATCTTAACCATAAAGTGAAAGATCATGATCATATAAGTGGAAAATATAGAGGACCAGCCCATGATGCATGTAATAAAAAATTACAAATGGGAGCATTTAAAACTAAAATACCACTTATTTGTCATAATTTTCGAGGCTATGACTCTTATTTGCTCATAGAGGTTGTAAGCAGATTTACAGCCAATAAGCTAAAATGTATTCCAGAAAATATAGATAAGTATAAAGCTATGGATGTTGGACAATTCCGATTTTTAGATAGTTTTCAACATATGTCAATGGGTCTTGATAAACTTGTTGAAAGTTTAGGCAAAAATCTTGAAAAATTTCCTCTAACAGTAAAATACTTCACCAATAAAGGATATTCAATAGATAAAATCAAGTTAATAATACAATGAAAAAGTGTTTTTCCATATGACTGGACAAATACATGAGATAAATTCGATAGAATAAAGCTTCCACGCAGAAAATATTTCTATTCTATGCTCAAGCAGCAAAACATTAGTAAAGGAGATTATGAACATGCGCAAAAAGTATGGCAAGAATTCGAAATAATAAATTTTGGAGAGTATCATGACCTTTATCTTGAAACAGATGTACTTTTACTTGCAGATGTTTTTATGAACTATACTATTATATGTTTACAGGATGATAGATTGGACCCCTCACATTATGTTTCAGCACCAGGAATGTTTAATGATTCATTATACAAAAGTAGCAAAGTTGAGATTAAGCTAATGACGGATATGGATGAGTATTTAATGGTGGAAAATGGGATTCGAGGGGGAATGACAATGGTAAGCCAGCGATATGCCAAAGCTAATAATGAAAAATGTCCTGATTATAATTCCAACAAACCAAAATCCTGGATCATGTATGAAGATATGAATGCTTTATATTCAGGCGCAATGACATAATACATGCCTACAGAGATTTTAGGAAAGGTAGGTCCAGAAGAAATACACGAGATACAAAGTATTGCACCTGATGCTGAAATAGGATACATGCTTGAAGTTGATATAGAGACCCCAATAAACTTGCACGATTTCTTTGCAGATTATTCTTTAGCACTGGAAAAGCAAATCATACCAGAAAACTGGCTTAGTTTATATAATGAAAGATTAGTACATGACAAAGCAGTTGGAGGTGGAAAATATGTAACGGGAGAAAAGCTATTACAAACCCTCTTACCCAAGAAAAATTATATAGTTCATTATAGAGTTCTACAGATATATATGAAATTCGGAACGAAAGTTACAAAAATTCATAGTGCTTTAAAGTTTCATCAATCTCCATGGATGAAAGACTATATCGAGGAAAATATTCATAAAAGAAAAATTGCCAAAGCTAACAAAGAGGATTTTGGGGTAATGTATTATAAACTTAAGAATAATGCAGTATTCGGGAAAAAAATGGAAAATGTTCGTAAACATATGAGAGTAGAATTACTTAGATCTGATCAAGATAAAAAACTAACTCGTCTTGTTAGATCTCCATTATATGTAGGTTTTAAAGCATATGAAGGGGGGATTACAGCAGTTCATATGTTAAAAGGTACAGTAACTCTTAATAAACCATTATTTGTGGGGCAAGCAATTCTTGATATTAGCAAAGCTATGATGTATAACTTTTGGTATGGTTATATAAAACCTCGCTATGAAGATAAAGCCCGCCTACTTTATACAGATACAGACTCACTTATTATGTGGATAGAAACTGAAGACATTTATAAAGATCGAGCCGAAAGACCAGATATTTTCGATCTCGACTATTCAGGAGATTTATTCTTAATGAAGGATGAAACAAAGGGGGATCCCATTTCCTTGGATCTTTTTTCACGGATAATAGTAAGATGCTCTAATATTTTATCATAAATTATACCCTTCGCCTTCTTCTCGCCAATTTTGCCATTACTATTTTTTATAAGATCATTATATTGAATTATGAATTCTTTTCCGTAGTTGACCCAGCATAAGGTTTCTTCCTGATTAGCCTTCATAGCATGATATTCAGCATTAGTTGCTTTATCAAATAATTGAGCTAAATCGAGTAATGAGATAGTATCAGAATTTTGACGACGGGCCGTCGCTGAAATCTCAGTTACATGATTTGAGGAAGCAAAGCTTCGAGTCTCCGACTCATCTGAAATAGTATTATCAGCAGAACTAAGTACATCCTGAATGCCATCAGCTATTACTTGAGCGATATTCTCAGTTCCCTTTTTCTTGTGCGATTGAGATGTTTTCTCCTGGCTTTTATGTTGATTCTGATCCCAAATCTTTTTCACAGTTTTCGAGTCCTGAGATTCAGATGTCGACATGGTTGATACTTTGGATTGTATCGGTGGTGTCAAGTTATTATGTGATTCTTGAAGTTTTTTTTCCCGGTTCCTCTCTCTTATCTCACTACTAATCCTTTCCTTATGTATCGTTTCTACAAAGTCAAGGATCTCAGCTGAATCGTCATGGATAATATTTTGTGGTAAAGAAGTTGTAGATGAGCTATATTCTATTTCAAGCAAGGGATCGGGGGTAATACCTTTTTCCTCATAAGAATGGCTCTCGATAAGTGGCGAAATATCTTTTATAGGAGATACTTCCTGTTCATTGGTAATAGCCTGGATCTGTTTCTGTTCCAATTTCGTGATTCTATCTTTAAGCTCAGAATTTTCTTCCGCGATCCGTTCCAACTTGGCGATCCTGGCTTTGAGCTCAACATTCTCAGCTTCACGTTTGGTGCTCTCTTCCATAACCTGTTTTAAAAGCTCGACATTCTTGGCTTCGAGCTCAGCCTTTTCAGCTTCAAGTTCAGAAATTCGTTGCTTTAGTGAATCAATCTCAGATTGCATGTTTTAGTGATAGATTGTATATATTTATTATTTATTTAAAATGCGTGACTAAAGCATCAAAATTTCGGCGACGGGCCGTCGTCAAAAAAAAAAAAATCAAAAGAATGAAACCGCTTGAGACGTGCAAATTTGGCACTAGTAACCCTATAATAAATTAATTTATTTCTCAACAAACTTGATCGAATCGGTTTTATATTAATAGTTTCAAATAATTAGAAACACATCAATAAAGCCCAATTCAGGCAAACCTTTATTCGTTAAATTTTATTGCTATGGTATTATATGACACTTTAATAAAAGACCGGAGATTATTATTATGCAAGAAATATTACTCATTAACAAAATTCACATCGACCTTTTCTACTCAAGAATTAGGTCAGATTCTGAGCAATCTGAAATGGAATAACATATCAGTGATGTTAAATATGTTAAATATAATATAACGAATTTTGTCACTGACTTTTCGGAACCCTCGGTTTTTGGAAGGATCTGTATTCCCTCTCCCCAGTAGGCATTGTCACCTTTCCGAGTGCAAATTTCTCTCTTCCTGCCCTGCTTTTCATTTGCTTGAATCGTGAAATAGAAATTGATAATAATTTCTGCAAAAACAAAATCAAGTAAGTGTAAAATAAATTTAAGCGATTTTAAAGATTGTTCGGATGTTACTAACCTTTATTTGGAGCATTATTCGTGACATTTTAATGAGGAACTCAAGTTCTTGATATTTTATTGGGATATAAAATTCGGATAAATTTACGGACGCATAAAATCCGCCGCCAATATATATAATTAGAATTGCACGCATAAAAAAATAAGATGATAAAAATCCGGGCATTAAAAGCTTTGTGCTCGCTTCAAGGACTGGTTTCGAAAGTGTTCCCCCACCCTCGGCAAATATTGTCTTAATTAGATTTTGGTGCATGTCGCGTAATGTTTTCTGTACTTTAAGTGAGTTTGAAAAAATCTTAGGCGTGTCTTCAATTTTTGATCCCGTACGCTCACAAAGGGAAAACTCGCGACCCCAACTTAACTCTCTTCCTAAGTCATGCCTCTGTAGATTCAAATTAGTAAACACACTGATAGTTGATAATGAAAACTCTTAAAAATCTATTTGTATAATAATAAAAATAAATCAGCCTTACTGTGAACATCCAGTCCAAGTGGTAACCTTCTGCATTAGTTGGTGCATTTATTGCCTCTGCTCGGCGATTTCGGGAAGACCTAGATACCATCTCGCCACTTAATTGAAAAAAAAAAGGATGTAAGAACTACTGCAAATAATATAAATATTTAAAAAATAACAATAAACCTACAAGTGACTATCCAGAATAGTATCGAAACAAGAGAAAATGTGCCGTTTTATAAATACATCAATGTCGCGCTCAGTATTTTGTCGTTGAGTAATCCCCTTTGAAATCATTTCACATCTGAATGAAATTGTTACATAAGACTTGTAAAACACATGAATGATAGATAACATGTAATTTGGTACTTAACTATTAAAACTTACGTAAATCGAATCAAATCAAAAATGAAAGCAACATCCGGATTCATACAATCGTCGGGAGTCAATGATGGAATCTCTTTATGCTGATCCGTCTCATTATCTTTTTCGTCTTCAAATAAATTATCCGATTCTGGAGCTTTCTGTTCCTTTATATTTTCCAATAATTTTTGAAGCTCGAGAATCGCACCATGTGTTCCTTTAGGTCTTACAATTTCTCCAATAGTGCGGAGCTGATCGTTGTCAAGCTGGAAACCAAAGCATGTATTAATAAATTTCAATTGAAATACTTTAATTTCTTTCATTTACCTTTTCGAGGGACTGCAAGCAACTTTCCGCTTTTGGTTCTAATGTGGTCCAGTTTTCTAGAAGGGATGAAAACTTCGCATTCAATTCTGACAATTCATTTTCCGACATAAGGGTCCCGATCTCTGGATCAGATATATCAATAATCCTCCACCAGATTGGACTAAAATTTATTAGAACCTGGAAACCACAAATAATAAACAAATCAATGTTTATCAAACACTTACTTTAATGACAATTCATATTGAGTCATTTTATTATTATAATTAAAAGCATTGTAAATTAATGAATCACGCTCGTGTGCTATTTTATCCAGCCAACTTGGTTTCGGTGTATCAAACTCCCATTCAACAAAGGGTTCTTCATCATCTAAAACCTATGTTGCATTCACAAAATTTATATAAGAAAGCTTTTTTTATTTTGCTAAAAATTAAAGCAAATATAAGTACCTCGATCAAATCTGATAGTCCTTCGTCTTTTTTACATTGACGTTTGTACGAATGGTCATCATCTTCTTCCGCATCAAGTGGTCTAGTAATTTTTTCACGTTCCTTTTCCTTTTCCGAGGATGTTTCTCGTAATTGATCAATAAGTATTTGGTTTTCTTGTTGATCCTAAAAAATTTTTGGTAAGTCTATTGGTCTATTGTGAACGATGATTCTGAATTTTCATAAAATTTACCCTTAATACTGTGGCGGTGTAAGTTGATGTTACGTTTATTCGCGCTTCCTCGTGATATTCAAGATCTTTAATGAATTGCTTCACTTCGGCGGTGGAGAATAATGAATCAAAATTAGATAAAATCTTCGTCGCTTTGTTTTTGGTATATATGTGAATGTTACACTTGTCTCTATAGCTCTGTAATATTGCGTATAGGTCTTCCTTGAAATCATTGATTGTAGCCACGGATAATTTGGGATTCGAGTTCGATTGCGCAAATTCCAAGATTCCGAGAATTGTCCAATCTTTACTTTTTATTTTATCGAGATATTCTGTCACAATGGATTCGAACATCTAAAAAAAAATAATGCATTCATCAGTTTTTTTACCCATTTTAATAAAAGAAACACGGTAATGTTTACAGTCAACTGTATACTGGAAACAGCATGCTGAAACGTGCCTTAAGCATGTATGCCTAAGGGTTGTCCAGCAGACTGCCTCCAAGCATCTGAACGCAGGAAGATATGCCTAGCGACAGTAGGTATAGTGAACGCATCCTGGAAAACAGCATGCTAGAACGTGCCTTAAGCACGTATGCCTAAGGGTTGTCCAGCAGACTGCCTCCAAACATCTGAACGCAGGAAGATATGCCTAACGACAGTAGGGATACGCGTGACTGTAAACCTTACCAGAAAGTTCAAAGAGCCTACGAGGATATAGAAGAAGATTAACCTTATTTTATTACGTTATTCTCGAAAGATCCGCGATAGATACGTGTTCAGAGTGAAAATGTTAGATGATCATATTTCTATAATTCACGTTACACGACCCATTTTTGATATTTTTGATGCAAAATTAATTTTACAAAATTTCAGCGACGGCCCGTCGCCGAAAAAATCTATTGTCTACTCCTGCGCCACATTATTGCACCCGGACACATGGTGCGATTCTCGAGCTTCAAAAATTATTGGAAAACATAAAGGAACAGAAAGTTCCAGAATCGGATAATTTATTTGAAGATGAAAAAAGATGAAAAAGATAATGGAACGGATCAGCATAAAGAGATTTCACCATTGACTCCCGATGATTGTATGAATCCGGATGTTGCTTTTATTTTTGATTTGATTCGATATACGTAGGTTCAATAATTAAGTAATAAATTAATAAATTACATCTGCAATTTAATAAGCACTATGTTATATAATTTTGTCCAGATGTGAAATGATCGCAAAAGGAATTACTCAACGACCTAATTCTGAACGAGATATTGATGTCTTTATAAAGAGACACATTTTTTCCTGTTTTGATACGATTCTAGATAGCCATTTGTAAGTTTTATTAGTTTTCCTGATATTTTTATTGTTGGTGATAATGCTTACACTCTTCTTAACTAAGTGGTGAGGTGGTATCGAGAGCATCTAGAAGTCGTCGGGAAGTGGCGATAAATGCACCAAGTAATGCCGAGGGTTATCATTTAGATTGGATGTTCACGGTATGAGTATAAATCTTCAAAAGTCTTCATTCATCAACTATCGGTGCATTTACTAAATTTAATAATTTACAGAGGCATGATCTAGGTAAGGAATTATGTTGGGGTCGTGAATTTTCTCTTTGTGAACGCACCGGTTCAAAAACGGAAGACACGTCCAAAATCTTCTCAAATACTCTCAAGGTACAAAAAACCTTAAGAGATATGCACCAAAATTTAATCGAAGCAATATCTGCCGATGGAGGTGGAACACTATCAAAACCTGTAATTCAAGCGAGCACGAAATTGTTGATGCCCGGATTTTTATCGTCATATTTTTTTATTCGTGCAATTCTTGTTATCTACGTTGGGGGTGGATTTTATACATCCGTAAATTTAGCTGATTTATACATTCCAACAAAATATCAAGAACTTGAATTTATAATTAAAATGTCACGGTCTATGCTCCAAATAAAAGTAATGTATCATTTAAGCAACCTTTTAATTTCTAAAGTTTTATTTGCAATAACTTGATTATTTCTTGTAGAAATTATTATCAGTTACTATTTCCCGGTTCAAACAAATGAAGAATAGGGCCGAAAAAGAAAAATTTGCATCTGGAAAGGTGGCAATTCCTGCTAGACAGGAGGAGTACAGATCCTTCCAAAAACCAAGAGTTCCGAAAACGAAAGGTTAGTGACAAAATTCGTTAAAATATTGTATTTAACAAAATACTGACCGAGATATATCATTCCTTTTCAGATCACCTAGAACCCGATGACAACCCAGTTCTTAATGATAATCAATTTTTTGATGATACTAAGTGATGTAAAATTTATATATAATTGTTAATGAATAAAATTGTAGTAATAATCATCATCTGTATCAATGTATCTTATAATATTATAGTAGTTATATACAAGGTTAACAAATAAAATTTGTCAGAATTGGAATGAATGTATTATATATGTGTGAGCATTGAAGAAATAGTCTATTTGTCCGAATCATTTTTATAATTGATTAATAAGTCAAACTATTTACTAATGCAAAATTTGCAATTTTATTTGACGGGCCGTCGCCGAAATTTTTATTACTTTAGTTACGCATTTTAAATAAACAATAAATATATACAATCTATTACTAAACATGCAATCCGAGGTTGATTCATTAAAACAACGAATTTCTGAGCTTGAAGCCGAAAAGACTGAGCTCGAAGCCAAGAATGCCGAACTTTTAAAACAGGTTATGGAAGAGAGCACCAAACGCGAAGCTGAGAATGTTGAGCTCAAAGCTAGGATCGCCAAATTGGAACAGATCGCAGAAGAAAATACCGAGCTTAAAGATAGAATCACGAAATTGGAACAGAAACAGACCCAGATTATTACAAATGATCAGGAAGCATCTACAAAAGACATTTCGCCACTTATCGAGGGCCATTCTGGTGAGGAGAAAGGTATTACCCCCAATCCCTTGCCTGAAATAGAACGTAGCTCAACCCAGGCCCAAAGGGGCGAACCTTTAGATCCATCTGAATCTTCAACAGAGCCTGAAATATCTACAACCTCTTTACCACAAGATATTATCGGCACTGACATGCCGGCTCACGCTGATGATGATTCAGCTGAGATCCTAGATTTTGTAGAAACGATACATAAGGAAAGGATTAGTAGTGAGATAAGTGAGATAAGAGAGAGGAACCGGGAAAAAAAACTTCAAGAATCACATAATAACTTAACTCCACCGATACAATCCGCAACATCAACCATGTCGACACCTGAATCTCTGGACTCGAAAACTATGAAAAAGCTTTGGGATCAAAATAAAAGCCTGGACAAAACATCCCAATCGCACAAGAAAAAGGGAACAGAGAATATCGTTCAGGTGATAGCTGATGGCATTCAGGATAATATTATTTCAGATTTAAATCATGTGACTGAAATTTCAGCGACGGCCCGTCGTCAAAATTCTGATACAATCTCATTACTCGACTTGGCACAATTATTTGATAAAGCAACAAATGCTGAATATTACGCTACAAAAGCTAACCAGGAAGAAACCTTATGCTGGATTAACTATGGAAAAGAATTCGTAATTCAATATAATGATCTTATAAAAAACAGTAATGGCAAAATTGGCGAGAAAAAGGCAAAAGGTATAATTTATGATAAAATATTAGAGCACCTTACTATCATCCGTGAAAAAAGATCCAAGGAAATGGGATTACAGCTCCCAGAAA